CCGTCCCTTCTCCTGGAAGGTAACTCTTCCCCGTCACGCCCCCCAGACGTTTCGATTGGGCGGGGGTAGGCGTTCAGCTCCGGAGTTCACCAGCACGAGTGACAGTTTGGCTTGGAAGTCACAACAACTACAATCAAAAACCCTGATAAGGACGCGCGACTTTGCTCAGGGTACCCGTGCGTCCTTGCTCCTCCTTGCTCTTGCGGCCTTGGGGTTTTCGTCGTCCGCCGCCCCAGAAATCCCAACTTCGTCTTCCAAGGGTCTTGCGTCCTTACCTCGGGCCCTTATTAGGGTTTTTGACTCTAGAAAGATGGTAGAGGACTTGTACATGCGAGCCCTGCGCATAAAAACCAGCAGCGACCAGATGTGGCAAGCTTGCTACAGCTGGAGGGCGGCTCCGTGCCAAGCAAGGCTGTCATGTGGCCTCGCTTCTGATGGCCATACATGTCAAAGTGTGGCGGGCCTTTTCCGAAGCCGATTTCTCGCTCGACATGTTGCAGAAATGGGATGGCTTGGCCCCGTAGTCTTTCTGGTACCTCGAACGGGGGTGGCTGTTGTATCAAAATGGTGTTCTCACTTGAATGGCAGGCCCATGGCCGATGGGGTTGTCGCTCTTCAAAGGGTGGGCCCCGTAGTCAAACGGAATGCTTGCAGGGACTTGTGGTTTGCAGAGCTTTGCGTAAAATGGGCCGACTTGGGCTGGGAGGGTGCATTGCAGCATCGCTGATGCATTGCTGGGTTTACCGTGGTCTTCATCTCGGAGGGCACCAACTATACACCAACACCGATCCTGGCCCAGGATCACCCTGGGCCCAGGATCGGTGTATATGCCTTCTTGCGCAAGGCAGGAGGGCGTATACACCGATCTTGGGCCCAGGGTGATCCTGGCCAGGATCGGTGTTGGTGTATAGTTGGTGCCTTCCCATCATCGTCGTCATCCCATCCACTCCTCCCCCTCCTCTCTTCTCTACCTCTTCCTTTCCCCCTCCGGTCCTCGCTCCCCCGTGGAGGGCAGGGGCAGAGGGGATCCTCCTCGAGGCGTCTACCTGACCGACCGGATCACCAAGTCGGACGAGTATTCGAAGTCCGTCTTCAGCCCCGACAGCGGCGCCGAGCTGCACACGATGCTGGTGGTGCGGTGCGTCGGCGGCCGCTGCAACGTCCAGACAGGCCGGCGGCGTCGAGGGGGGGAAAGGGAGGGGCAGAGGAGCAGCTCGAGGAGGAGGAGGAGGAGGAGGAGGAGGAGGAGGAGGAGGAGGAGTGGGATGAGGGGGAGGAGGAGAGGGATGGGAAGGAGGAGGGAGAGGGGGAGAGGGAGGAGGTGAGGGGGATGCTGAGATCGAAAGGAGTGCAGGACGTGGAGGAGGGTGCGGGGGCGCCGGAGGTGGCTTCTCTCTGCATGCTGCCAGGGAGTGGCACGCTTGTCTCACATAATTTCTCCTGTTGCTCCAGGCTAAATTCTTTACGCTTCGTGTATCCCCACCAGCCCATCTCACAGCAGCAACTCTTGCGAAGCATGCCGACAGTCGTGTTTTTCAGGCGTGTGTCCGCTTGGCCCCGCATATCTCCCCTGTTCCTCCTTCCTCCCGCCTCCTTGTACATCCTCCTTGTGGGGGGAGCGGGAGAAGGACGAGGCGGAGGAGGAGGGAGAGAAAGCGCTCCTCGTGATTTGAGTCGTTTGGGGTTTCTCGTCCTGGTGTGAGTCGTTCGGGCCCTTCTTCCTGGTGTGAGTCGTTCGGGCTCTTCGTGGTGTGAGTCGTTCGGGCTCTTCGTCCTGGTGTGAGTCGTTCGGGCTTCTCGTGGTGTGAGTTGTTCGGGCCCCTCATCCTGGTGTGAGTCGTTCGGGCCCCTCCTCCTGGTGTGACTCGTTCGGGCTCCTCGTGGTGTGAGTCGTTCGGGGCCCGCGTCGTGGTGTGAGTCGTTCGGGCTCCTCGTGGTGTGAGTCGTTCGGGCGCCTCGTCCTGGTGTGAGTCGTTCGGGCCCCTCCTTGTGGTGTGAGTCGTTCGGGCTCTTCGTGGTGTGAGTCGTTCGGGCCCCTCGTCCTGGTGTGAGTCGTTCGGGCTCCTCGTGGGGCCTCTTGGGGGCCTCTTGGAGCCTCTTGGGGCCTCTTGGGGGCCTCTTGGGGGCCTCTTGGGGGCCTCTTGGGGGCCTCTTGGGGCCTCTTGGGGCCTCTTGGGGGCCTCTTGGGGGCCTCTTGGGGGCCTCTTGGGGCCTCTTGGGGGCCTCTTGGGGGCCTCTTGGAGGCCTCTTGGGAGCCTCCTGGGGGCCTCTTGGGGCCATCTTGGGGCCTCTTGCGACCTCAGAAGCGCAAATGAGCGCTGCCCCCTGAGAAGGACAAAATGAGCCCAAAACCTTTTTGTAAAATCAATGATTTTGCTATGAAGGAAGATGAGCGCTGCCCCCTCAGAAAGCCAAAATGGGGCCGAAACCCTAGTAAAATCAATGATTTTGCCTTCAAAGAAGAGGAGAGGGTTTTTTCTCGTTCCCCCCGTCGGGGGCAGAATCCTCGTGAGGGGTGTCGTTTTTTAGCCCTCCCAGGAGTCGAAATTGACCCCCCTGACGACCCGCGGGACCCCCTCTCCAGGCCCAGGGGGAGGGGGTAGGGGGAGGGGTAAACCCCTCCCCGAAGGGGAAGAAGGGGGGTTGAGGACAGAGCGGGCTCTCTAAACCACTCACGCCCAAAGGGCTGGTGGGACTCAGCAGCATCCGGATGCTGAAAGCAACCTCGCCGACCGGATGGAGCGTTCTCCTCCTCTTCCTCCTCTGCGCTCCTCGTCCATCCTCCTCCTCGTCTCTCCCTTCCCCCCCTCCTGCTCCTGTTCTGTCTTGCACCTGCTCTTCCTCCTCCTCCTCATCCGTGCCCCTCATCCTTCTCCCTCCCCTTCCTGCTCACCGCTTGTGACTCCTCCTCCCCCAGTCTCCTCCTCCTCCTCTTGCTCTCATCCGTCCTCCTCATCCTTTTCCTTATCCGTCTCAATCTCCCCTCTTGTCGTGTTTTCTCCTCCTACTCCTCGTCATTATTTCCCTCATCATCATTTTATAACACTGCATCACAGCGTGGCGGGATGGCTGGACAAGCGGTGAAGATGATCTCCAGATGCCGAGGTGTATTTAGTATCGTGTGCCCCCTCCGCCCTCGTCCCCCGATTCCCTGCTCTGCACCTCCTACCTCCTCTCGTTCCTGCTATTCCCCCGCCTTTCCTACCCGTAGCTTGGTTCTCCTATCCCTCGTTGCGAGGGTGGCCCAGTTTGCCAATAGATTTGAAGGACTACCCCACGATACAGACCACATGGGCATATGTCCCGTGCATAATCGCCCTAAGCGCCTCCCGCATCTATGAGGGATTGTTTGAACATGTCGCGCTGTCCTCGGCGCCACGCACGGCCGCATCGAGATCGTACATGGTGTCAAGAGGACAAGCGGCGTTGAACAACCTGTGGCGCTCTTCCTATAGTGCCGCGCACACTTGTCTTAAACATGCGCGAGAGCTACAAGGACTGAAGACGGCTTGCTCTCAACGGGATCGGTTCTCACATGTTTTTGCCGCGCCCGCTCGTCGTTCATTTGCCCAGCAGTAATACCTGGTGCGTGCGATGTTTGTTGCGCATTAAACTTCTAAATGATGCCTCGAAGCGCAGCATTGCACAACAATTTTACGGGTGGACGGTGGCGCTTTGTTTCACCTCTTCGGCACGGCGTGGCCATCTGTGTAGGCACAGTTCTGCAGCAGTTGCACGGATGCTGGGCAGCCTTTTTCTCGAACGCGGTTCTCTTTGGATTCGTCCTGGATCTTTTTATTGTTCCCTCTTATATCTCGGTCTGCTTCAAGCGTGATCTTCGCTTTAATAAGAGGCCCAAAGCACGTTCGTATTTGAATGGGACGCTTCTCGAAATGAACGGAATGGTGGTGTTGACCTTCCCGCAGGGATTTCAGAACGAAATGGTGTCTGGCGGCATCCTCGGTGCATATTCAGTTTCGTCATCCTCCTCATACTTATCCATTCGCGCTGCCCCGCTCAGTGGACAAGGATGAGGGGGACGATCCACTTGCGCGGCAAACTCGCCGCGCAAGTTCGCGTAAGCTCGACGCGAATTTGCGCGGCAGATTTTGCCGCGGGTTCTTCTCCTCGTCCACCCGCGCTGCCGCGCAAACTCGCCACCACGGTCAGGCAGGCGCCAAGCGGGTGGGGGGGGAGGGCGGAGGGTACTCGGGGGGATGCGGGGGGGGGGTGGAGCGCCGAGTCATACCCGTGGCCGAGGGAGGGAGAGAGGGAGGGGTACGGACGACCTTAACCACATACCAGACAGTAGGTGGGAGCACGGTCAACCAGGGGGACGGGCACGGTCATCGTCGTCCTCCTCCTCCTCATCGTCCTCCTCCTCCTTCTCCTCCTCCTCCTCCTCCTCATCCTCGTCCTCGTCCTCATCCTCATCCCTTCCTCCTGATCCTCCTCATCGTTCTCCTCCTCCTCCTCCTCCTCCTCCTCTCCCTCCCCCCCCCCCTGGGACTTCATGGCCCAGGGGTTTTCAACATTTTAAACGCTCAAGAGTTTAAAAAGTTCTGGGGTGTTCAAAAGGGGGAGAGCTGGGGGAGGGCGTTGGGCGCGAACCAATGGGGGGATGATCGACGGAGAGGGAAGAAAGGTGCCCTTTTCGGGCCCTAAGGCAACCTTCTTGGCCGTAAGGACCCCTCTTGGTGCCCTACAGGGCCCCTTTTCGGCAGCCCTCGCTGCCCCCACAGTTTCCGCCGCCCAAGAACGGGGGGGCACCGAGGGAGGGAGGGCGGGGGGACGCTTAGGGTGGGAGGGAGGGGGAGGACTGGGGGATGGAGGGGGAACGTACGATTGAAGCAGACCGAGATATACTGGGAGGAATGTTGGCGCACGTTTCCATTTGGAACGCGGCAGCAGCAGAGGGGCCTTGCGCAGAGACGGGAGCCCGCGCAGGAGGCGATGCGCCAGGGGCCGTTGGCTGCTGCTTCGCAGAGGGCGCGGTTGACACTGAAGAACCAAAAACGCACGAAGTTAGCGTTTTATGTTTTTCCTCTCCACCGTAACGCTCGCTACCCGGGCCAACCCTCCCCCCACTGGGTAGCGCTAGCGATCGTGCCGTGGGGCAGGGGGCCTGGCCCCCCCCCCAGTTACATGCTGGGAGCGGGCCCCCCTGAGGTATGGTGCTGTGCTCGCAGGCGGAGCGTGGTCTGAACGGCGCGCATTGGTGCTCACAAACGTGTTGTGGCGCTCGCAATCGTCGTCGTCGTCGTCGTCGTCGTCGCCGCCGCCGTCGTCGTCGTCGTCGTCGTCGTCGTCGTCGTCGTCGTCGTCGTCGTCGTCGGTCGTCGTCGTCGTCGTCGTCGTCGTCGTGGTCGTGGTCGTGGTCGTGGTCGTCGTCGGTCGTCGTCGTCGGTCGTCGTCGTCGTCGTCGTCCAATGCGGCTGGCGATGGCTCAGCTACCGCAGGCTGGTTCGACCACCTTTCCGCAAGTGGAAAATGCGGTGGCTCTCTCCCTTCCATTTGGCCGGTGCGCAGTGCGATACAGTCAACGCGCCTAATAAAGACGCGCGCTTTCTCCAGGGTGCCCTTGTGGCCTTGCCTGTGCGGCCTGTCTTTTGCCGCTTTAATTGGGCAGCTTTTTGCGAACAAGCTCGGTTTCCAAGGGTCTTGCGTCCTTGCCACCCGTCCTTAATCACGTATGAACTGTAGACACAGCGCCATGGAGAAGATGATGACTGGGCGGCCCCGCGCCTTCTCCCACGGGCGCTGCGCTGTGGTTCACGCAGGCAGCGTGGCGCACACCGGCGCTGCGTTGCACACGGCTGCTACGGTGTACACAGGCGCCGTGGTGTACGCAAAATCGTTGTGGTGCACGCAGGCACCGCGGTGTATTTTGCGTTGCACGCGGCTGTTGTGGCTTACACAGGCGATGTGGTGTACGGAGGCGTTGTGGTGCACGCGTGTAAAATCCGCCGGCGTTCCAGCTTCCATAGGGAATCCTAAAACGCTTGTAGAATCCAGAAACGCCCCAATTTCCAGAAGGATCCATTAACAAACAAAGGTTTTTCTATCCAGAGGCGTTCCACTTTACATCGGACTTTCCAGAAGGTTTCCTCAGTAATCCTTCAAAAAACAATAGTTGTTCGTACAATCCTCTTATAAACAACGGTTGCTGCAGTATACACAGGCACTGCGGTGTGCATGGGCGCTGTGGTGTTGCAGTGCACGCGGCTGTTGTGGTGTACGGAAGCATTGAGATGTGTACACAGGTGGCGTTGTGTTGCACGAAAGCATTGGGCATTGTCGTGTGCACAGGCGATTGATGCGCCGTTGGCGCGGACGCACCCTGGTGGGCGCACGCCGCGGTCGCCGTTACCGTTACCCTCCAGCTCGACCCCCTTCCCGCCCCCAGGTAACGGCCGTTACCCGGGAAAGAAAAAAACGGTCACCCACCGTTGCGAGCGCGGCGGTGGATTGCCAACCTCCGTCCTTTTGGACGGCAGACCGATTGGAAGGCAGTCGTCAAGCGACGCACTCTCTGACACGTGAATTTTGAGTTACTGCAGCCTTGTAGATTATCGCAGCGGCCAGGACAGACTCCATCTTGGCCGCCGCGCCAGCACTGCAGCCGATGTCTCGTCGAGACACGGCTTTACATACATACACACCTCCTCCTTTAATCTTCTTGTTGCGGATCTTCTCAAGGCCCATCTGACGGATGTGTTCGTCTCCAGTTCGGTTGAAGTCCGCTTCTAGCTCGATTCAAGCTTGACTCATGTTCGACTTGAGCCGACGGAACTCGACGCAGTATCGTCCTCCTCATCTCTTTTTTACTTGGTCTTGGCCTCGTTCGGACGTGTGCATTTGTTCTCGGCGAGGACCTTCGAGGAGCATTTTGGATCGTCTTGCGAAAAAATGAAAGCACGAAGCCGGGAAACATGCTGGGAGTGGACGTCCGAGAGACGTCGAGTGGCAGGCCACCTAAGCCTTCGGGTGGTTCGAATGGTGCTCACAGAGGAGGAGTCTGGCGCCGTTCTGCCTCCCCCCGTGCCGCCCCGCGAGGAGCCCATCTTCCTCCTCTCTGCCCCCTCCCCCCTGACCGAATCTACTGTATGACTCGACTCTCCGCAGTGGCGTGCAATCGACACCGAGGGGGAGGGGGAGGAGGAGGAGGAGGAGGAGGAGGAGGAGGAGGAGGAGGAGGAGGAGGAGGAGGAGGAGGAGGAGGAGGAGGAGGAGGGGAGGGGAGGGAGGGAGGGGGGGGGGGGAGGAGGGAGGGGGGAGGGAGGGAGGGAGGGGAGGGGGAGGGAGGGAGGGACGAGGAGGAGGAGGAGGAGGAGGAGGAGGAGGAGGAGGAGGAACCCTTCCCCCTGCTCCCCCGTAGTGGCAGGCAGCGAGATCGACACCGAGGGGCTCCGGAACGGAGTGTTCTTCGGGCCGTTCGACTCCGCCCGGGCCTCGGTTCAGCGCGCTTGTTCGCGCGGCGGGCTCCTCGGTACATCGCTGAGGGCATAGAGCACTGCGAGGAGGAGGAGGACGGGGCTGGCGGAGGAGGGGGAAGGAGAGAGGGTAGGGAGGGAGACGGGTGGTGGTGGAAGGGGGTGAGAAGGATGAGGACGAGGACGCCGAGGACGATTATGAGGAGGAGGAGGAGGAGGAGGAGGAGGAGGAGGAGGAGGGAGGGAGGGAGGGAGGGAGGGAGGGAGGGAGGGAGGGAGGATGGAGGAGGGGGTTGGGAGCAGGAGGAGGAGAAGGAGCTAGGGAGGAGGAAGGAAGGGGGGATGGATGGATGGAGCAATGACGAAGTCATATCAAAAACCACTCTTCCCTGAGCTTTCCCAGCGACTCGGAGAACGAGAGGACGAAGGACGGGAAATAGTCCAGACCAAACGTAAGATGTGTTCACAATATTGCAGCAGATCAGAGAGACACCAATCCAGTGAGCATGTCTCTTCATACGGCACGCCAGATCCTCGAAGGAATAAGATTGAACAACTATCTCACTTGAACGTCACCGAGAGTAGTTGCCGCAAGGTTGCCACCCGAACGCTGGATAGCAAATGCTGACTTGACGTGCTGGCCAGAGGCCCGACGACATCCTGAGCGAAAACTGTGCCGTTCAGCTCTGCTTGCAATCTGCCGAGAGCCCGAGCTTCCGCGCAGAGCACTTGGCATCGCTCGGACGTGTGCAGTTTTCTTTCGGCGAGGATCATCGAGGAGCATCCTTGATCGTTTGGCGAAAAAAACACGCACGAAACCGGAAAAAAACACAGGAAATGGACGTCCGAGCGATGGCGAGAGCATCGGCGGCACGGAGCAGCCGCGCACGCTCGCCGCTGGCCGCCCACCGCCCGGCTGCCAACGAGAGGCAGGGGTGGCCTCTGCCATCGCCGCCCCGAGCTCGTGTAACAAGGCTCCGGCGTCTGACCGAACTCCAGTGGCTGCAGCTCCTCCATGCGAGACGGGAAAATGACCACAGCCACTGCTTCTTGTTTGCGCCGCCTTCCAGCCGGCCGAAAAAGAAGCAGTTGTTGTGATCATTTTCGTTAGAAATAAAAGAAAAGCAGTGGCTGTGGTCGTTTTCACGTCCCGTACTCCAAGAATCAAGGGCATAAAAAACGCTTATACCCTGGTTTACGAGGCGCCTTACGCTGGAACTCCTGTGGGCCGACAGGGTCAACCCTGCGCGATGTGCCGCGTCCTGGCGGCTCCAGGCTTTTTGGGGGTCCCCAGGTTTACAGACCACGCGCTGGCAACTCAGGGTAGGGCCGTTTTTTCACCCCTCAACAGAAGGGAGACGGCTTCCGCAGGACGATCGGCGCCGACACCGGGCGCCAGCTTCCCCACCCGCAGCCTTGCCGAGACGACCGGCCCGATCCACGGCACCGGGGAGAGATCGCCTGGGCTGCCCACCGCTGCCGCCTCGGCGGAGGCCTCCGCGGCGTTGGGGGGCCGGGCGGAGACCTCCACGCTGCTGCCGTCCGCGCTCGGAATCTCTCCGCGGCCACGGCGGCAGCGGGGGCAGGCTGCTCCCCTGGCGGCGCCGCATCCGCCTCCACTCGGGCCGGACGAGAAAGGGGGGGATTGGGAAAGGGGGGGTGACGAAGTTTGCTGCGTGCAGCCGGTTTCGGCCCCACCGAGGAGCCCATTCCTCGATACGTGGCCGCCCCCGGCGCCGGGGGGCGCCGGGAAAGTCAGCTATACGCGAGCTGCTTCTCAGACCCCCCCTTTGCTATTCCCCCCTGAACGCCCGACGCGATCCACCACACCGAGGGCAGCCGTCCCCCACGGGGAGCCCCGGGGGCGGCGGAGCGGTCCCGCTGGGCGCCCCGGGCGGCTCCGGCCCTGGAGCCTGTTTTTCGTCAGGTCCAGGCAGGTGTGCTGTGAACTGCGCACCAGCGCAACCAGCACAACGTGTGCTGTGCACTGCACACCTCTGCCCCCTGCATGGCGCATTCGCTTTTGGCACGTGCTGTGCATTTGCGAGTTCGTAGTTATTTCGTGCCAGTGCGCCGTCTATCGGGGGCGGCAAAGAGGGTGGTCATGCCTGGGGGGGGGAAGATCATGGCGGGGGCCATGATGTTTCCCCTGATTTCGTGGCGCCTCTTCTTATTTCATTACGTCCCTGGCCCGGCCTGGCCCCCCCCCGCTGGGCCGCGCACATGCCGCCGGTCATGATTTGCACACACCCCTCTTGGCCGCTCCCGAGTCTAGGTGCGGCTCCGTGTGTGTGTGTGGGGGGGGGGCAAGTGTGCTTGCATGACCTGCGCCCCTCCCCTCCCCGCGTGTCCCCTCGCGCCCCTCTTCCATCGAGCGGGCGTGCAAGTGCCTCTCGACTGGCGCGATTTTTCCGCGCGCCAGGTCGTTTTCGCCCTGCTTCAGCAGGCTCGGGCCCCATGCAAGTAAACTGGGGGCCCAAAGAATATACACCACCACCACGTCGATCCCTCCTCTCTCCCCTGCCCTCCTCTTCCTCTCCTCTCTCCTGGGAGGGGGAGGGGATGAG